AATCTTTACTTCTCGACCATTTCGAGACTCCTCGTCATGTCCGTGATCTCATCCCACTAGTAGAAAAAGGCTCATTTGTCTCGATTCCAGAGGCCCATTTGTCCCGGTTCTGGACACTGGTCACTGGTGCCTAACATGACGCGCGCTTACAATGCCCTCTAGCCCATTTGTCCCCGTCGAGAAGCATTGGTCGTGAAAGGGAGCTCCTATTTGATGGGCAGTCTTTGCTCAAAAACAAATTGACAGGCAGTGATATGCATTGCCTATGCGTACATTCAAAAAAGTTCAACAGTTCAGAAACATTCGTGAATTCGAAAAATGTCCGCCAATTCCAAAAATGTTTGTGAATTCTAAAAATGTCCACGTATTCGGAAAAAAATTGTGGGTTTGAAAAATGTTCACAGATTCAAAAGATGTTCACGCAAATTTAAAAAGAATCACAGATTAAAAACATGTTCATGTATTCCAAACATGTCCCCGAATTCACAAACTGATCATGGTGAATTCATAAACTGTACACCAATTTGAAAGTTCACCTGTTCAAAAAGTATTTGCGGATTCAAAAAAAAGTTCACATATTTAAAAAGTCTTCGCATCTTCAAATATTATTCATGAATTTAAAAAATCTTGAACTCAAAAATATATTCATGAATTTGGGAAAATGTTTGAAAAATTTAAAATATTCATGAATTTGAAAAAACGTTCACAAGTTTGAAAGATCTTCAAAATTTTGGAAAAATAATTACGAATTCAAAAACTATTCAACATATATTCGAAAGAATATACTGAATATTTCACATTTCATATTTAAAAATTACATCACATAGATGGAATATGGTCATGTGTTTTAAAAGAAACTAGAAAATAGAAAATAAATTGGAAAGGTGGGAAAGGAAATGTGTAATAGAAGAAAATAAAAAATAAAAAATAAATAAGGTGATAAAAAGATAATAGAATCAATGGAAAAGGAAAACCGGCTGATAAAAAGATAAAAAGAAAACCGGCTGATAAAAAATAAATAAGGTGATAAAAAGATAAAAAGATAATAGAATCAATAAAAAACAGGACTCTAGACTAATCTAGAAACAAGATATCCTAAACAGCGCTCTCAGCACCGGTTTAGGATCCTGCCTCTAGAAAAAGAACTATACTGTAGACCAGTCTAGAAACGACAGCTCGTAAACGGCGCTCTCAGGTCAAGACGCACTTTCCCTCAAAAAAAAAAATCTCATGACACACCGGCTGAGTCCAACTGGGTCGGCCCATTGATGGATATTGTAACGAGCGCACTGTAGTGACACCATTTCCCGTAACGACCTGGAGTACACCTTTTCCTGTGATGACCTGGACTACAGTAGCAAGCACATATTAAAATTATGACAACAATTTTGAAAATGCAAAAAAACATGTATTTTCTAATACATTTTGAAAACGTGGCCATATTTTAAAATTAGAAAGAGTTTTTGAAAATCTTGAATATTTTTGGAATTCTCTTTTGAACATTGTTTGAAAATCTTGAACTATTTTTTAATTTATAATGATTTTATAAAAAACTCAAATAATTTTTGAAAAGTGTGAAAAAAAAATTTTATTCCAAAATTTTTCAAAAAAGTAATTTTATTAAATAACCAACAATTTTAAAAAGTGTGAACTATTTTTAATACCAAATATCTTTTGAAAAAACACAACAACTTTCTATATATTTTTGAATTATAATAAAAATCTGAAAATAACTTTTAAAAGAGAAACAAAAAAATACAGTAAAGAAAACAATATAAAATTTTGGTTTAGGAACTACAAGAAAAACCGAAATCCCTACACTAGGCTAGCTACATGGGTTGGCCCACCCAGAGCATTCGCCTCGTCTGTCTGTGCTAAAGGGCGCCTATTTGACGCAAAATGCGTCAGATAGGAGTTGATCGAGGTGCAAACCTCAAATTATGTAGTATAATTTAGGTCATGGATTTTGTTTTGGACATCTTGCCAACTCGGTCGAAGTAGTAAACATATTGGACATGGAGTGGGATGAGAGGTGAAGTTAGGCCGACATATCTCTTTGATCCTCAGGTTTGCATCAAATTCCAATCGAACTTCAGCTCTAGGGGTGTCTTTGAATGGATATCTCAACTAATGATCATAGACTGTGGGTGCTTAGGGGTGTCTTGGAATGGGTATCCCCTTTTCATCTCATATATGTAGGAAGATGCTAGGCGTCAGCCCACCGATGGAAGGCCCCAATTGATCACCTCCCGCACAGCTCCATAT